AACTCCCGGCTGGGCTTAGCTCCAGGCACCGTCCGATCGGTTTGGGGGAAAACCTAGGCTGTAGCCCCAGACTTGGCCTGACCCAACCAAAAGTCTGTGCACCTGGAGGGACATCTGTACCAAGCCGGCCTCTGTCCCGTCTGCTGCTCTGTCAAAGGTCCCCAGCCCCCAAGCCCTGGTGCAGGAGGCACCTGCTGGGCAGGTTGGGGCCTGGCTATGCCTGGCTGGGCCTGCTCCCCAGCCCCTTCTCTCCTGCCTGCCACACCCCACTGGGCCTCCCTCCCGCCTGATTGGACTCTGCCCCTCCAATGTCCCCTCCAGAGGATCCCTCCCTAGCTAGCCTGTTTCCCCAAGTGCTTTCCCACCTCCATGTCTTTGCCCAAGCTGTGCCCGCTACCAAGAAGCCCTTTCTCCTCGGCACACTTGCACTCCTCTTGTTAAATCAAACCTTTTGGGAAACATTCCCTGGGGTCTTTTGGGGTTCGTGGGCATCCCTCTGTCCCAGTCCTGGCTCAGGACACCCCCTGTCTACAGGAACAAGGCTGGTGGGCTGCCCGGAACCTGGGCCCGTGTAGTGGCAGCCCTGCTGCTGCTGGCTGTTGGCTGCTCCCTGGCTGTGAGGCAGCTCCAGAATCAGGGCAGCTCGACAGGAAGCTTGGGCTCTGTGGCCTCTCCACCCGGCGGACACTCCCACGGCCCTGGCGTATACCACCACGGTGCCATCATCAGCCCTGCAGGTCAGTCAGTGCTGGGGGCAGCTTGGGGGAGGGGAGGGTCAGGGGTCACCAGCCCAGCCCCCCTCCTTGCTGCATGACAGTGCCTTCCTTGCTGCAGCCACATGCTCCCACCTAGGCCGAGAGCTGCTTGTTGCCGGGGGCAACGTCGTGGATGCTGGAGTTGGAGCCGCATTGTGCCTGGCAGTGGTGCATCCTCATACCACAGGCCTAGGTCAGTGACCCCTGACCCCAGACCACAACCCCAACCCACAGCCTGATCAGTGACCTGGAACTTAGGGAGTCAGTAGCCCTGACCTCAAGGCTGCTTAGTGAGCAGGACCTAGGGTTTGGGTGGCAGTCCCAACCCCAGGCTATGACCCTTGAGCCCAGGTCCGTGGAACCTTGACCTCAGGCCTGGTCAGTAACTTCTGATCCCAGGCTCAGTCAAGGGATCTTGACTGAAATAAGTCAGTGACTCTTGACCTGCGGCTGCTGAGTGACCCCTCTGTCTCCTGCAGGTGCCGTGTTTTGGGGCCTCTTCCACAATAGCTCCTCGGGCAATTCCACGGCCCTGACATCAGGCCCAGCACAGACCCTGGCCCCCGGCCTGGGGCTGCCCATGGCTCTGCCCACCCTGCACCTACTGCACGCACACTTTGGCCGCCTGCCCTGGCCACGCCTGCTAGTGGGCCCCACCACGCTGGCTCAGGAGGGCTTCCTGGTGGACACACCCCTGGCAAGGGCTCTGGTGGCCCGGGGCACAGAAGGCCTCTGTCCACTACTTTGCCATGCTGATGGGACGCCCCTGGGCGCTGGGGCCCGAGCCACTAACCCACAACTGGCAGCTGTGCTTCGCAGGGCAGCCCTTGCTCCCACCTCAGACCTTGCTGGGGACGCTCTACTGAGTCTGCTGGCAGGAGACCTGGGGCTAGAGGTGCCCTCAGCTGGACCCAGGCCCACTTTGGAACCAGCACAGCAGCTACCTGTGCCCCAGGGCATCCTGTTCACCACCCCTAGTCCCTCAGCTGGCCCGGAACTGCTGACACTGTTGGAGGCAGCCCTGCACTCCGGGGTGCCCATCCCTGACCCCTGCCCACCATTCCTGCAGACTGCTGTGAGCCCTGGGAGCAGTGCCCTGGCCGCCGTGGACAGCAGCGGCTCTGTGCTCCTTCTCACCTCCTCGCTCAACTGCTCCTTTGGCTCTGCACACCTGTCCCCAAGCACTGGGGTTCTGCTCAGCAACCTGGTGGCCAAGTCTACTGCTAGTGCCTGGGCCTGCCCCCTCATCCTCCGTGGCAGCCTGGATGACACAGAGGCCGATGTGTTGGGGTTTGTGGCTTCAGGGACCCCTGATGTGGCCAGGGCCATGACTCACACCATACTCAGGCATCTGGCCGCAGGGCCCCCAACCCAGGCCCAGCACCAGCACCAGGGGCAGCAAGAACCAACACAGCATCCCAGCACTTGTGGCCAAGGGACCTTGCTCCAGGTGGCAGCCCACGCAGAACACGCCCATGTCTCCAGTGTCCCCCATGACTGCTGCCCCTTCCAGGGGTTCTAACAGGATGGAAGTGGGTCTGGCAGAAGACAGAGTTATCTGAAGCACGGGGGCAGGAGCAGAGCAGATCCAGCAGCAGTCGAGTGTGCACCCGCAGGGTGTGGTGGCTCACACCTGTAATCTCAGCTCTTTGGGTAGACAAGGCAGGAAGACACCTTGAGGCCAGGAGTTTGAAACCAGCCTAAACAGCAGAGCAAGAACTCTCGTCTGTACTAAAATTTTAAAAATTTGCCAGGGGCGGTGGCACATGCCTGTTGTCCCAGCTGCTTGGGAGGCTGAGGCAGGAAGCTTGCTTGAGCTCAGGAGTTCAAGGCTGCAGAAAGCTAGGGTCACACCACTGTATTCCAGCCTGGACAACAGAGTGAGACCCTGTCTTTAATAATAATAATAATAATAATAATAATAATAATAGCCGGGTGCTGTGGCTCACGCCTGTAATCCCAGCACTTCGGGAGGCCAAGGCAGGTGGATCACCTGAGGCTAGGAGTTCAAGACCAGCCTGGGCAACATGGTGAAACCCCGTCTTTACTAAAAATACAAAAAATTAGCTGGGCGAGGTGGCGTGCACCTGTAATCCCAGCTACTCAGGAGGCTGAGGCAGCAGAATCACTTGAATCCGGGAGGTGGAGGTTGCAGTGAGCCGAGATCGCACCATTGCAACCCCACCTGGGCAACAAGAGCGAAACTCTGTCTAAAAAAAAGAGTGTGTATCTATTATGTGCTCACTGCTGGCTCACGCCCCAACCTCTGGCCTTTTCAGTTACCTAAACTTGAGTTCTGGCATCCAGAGCTAATACAATCATTCTTCAGATCACCCACACTGGATGGAATCTCTAGCTGTTTTATCAGCTAAGAACATCAGGGTAATAAGGAAAAAGCAATAGGGCCTGGGGGTAGCCCTCAGTTCAGATCCAGCTTTCAGGAGGACAGTGGAGAGTGCAGAGCCTCTGCCTAGGCTTTGGGCCCCACGGAGCAGGACAGGCAGAGCCCAGGGTACTGTTGGCATCTCTGTCCTTCCCTTCAGGATACCCCTTACCTCTCTTCCTCAACCAGACTGGGTACAAAATAAAGATCAAGTCTCCCAGAAACCAAGCGCCATTCCTGCCTCTTGGTTAAGTTTCCATCAGCTTTTGAAGCAACTGGAGTCAGGGCTTTCCTGACGGGCAGCACAGGTGACCAACAACCAGAGAGGGGAGAGCCTGGGTTGACATCTTTCAGCTTCCCCCTGCTCCGCTCACCTCCTGCCGCCTGGGGCACCAGATGTGCAAGGTGAATGTTTTCATTTCACTTTCTAGAACAGACAGCAAAGCAGAGAAGCGGTTGAGAGGGTGAGAAGGTGCCCCAGGGGCTTAGGTACAAAGGGGTTGGAGTTGAGCATGTGGAAATTCAAGGTGAAGGTTAGCCCTGACCTCCCCCCAGGGTTAGGTCCTCTCTGGACCACAGCCCTCTATACACAGCTTCTCAAACCAAGAAGCAACGGTGACCAGTAGCACTTCCCCTCCCCTGCCATTGTAAAAGGCTTCTCTGATTTAATAGACTGTTTGGTCCCACCACCTGCACCTCCCACTCCCAAGAAAATTCTTCCCCATAATGGCACAATGCACCCAGTTATTTAGGTCCCAAACCTGGCATCCCCCTCATTTCCTCTTCCCCGACATCCAAATCCATCACCCACCCCACCTGCTCCACATCAGCCCAAATCTGACCTGTTCTCATTTTCCCTGGGTCCAGTTCACCGGTTTCTAAATGGTCTTCCCGTGCTTCCACGTGCGCAGATCTACAGTCCATCCCCCACACAGCAGCCAGCATCATCTTGTTAAAATGTAAATCGGATCCAGGCCTGCCCCTGCATTAAACTCACCAGTGATTTCCCATCACCCTCAGAATGAAATCCTAGCCCGGGGCCCATGCAACCTTGCTTCTCGCCAGCCTCAGCCCCTCCAGCCATGGACCTTTGTAAGTCGCAAGGCTTGGGATTTCGTCCCCTTACATCCTTGCAGGAGTACGGGGAAGGGGGGGCCCTTCTTGTCACTCAGCTCTCATCCCAAATGCCACTTCCTCACAGAGGCCTCCCCGACCAACCCCTCAAATCATTATTGTAGACCCTATTTAATAGTAATTAGCCGTGTTTTTAACGGGTGATGTATTCACGTTCCAGCGTTTAAAAAGCTCCTTCTGCAATTAGAATTGCATTTCTAATTCTCTTCATAATTATGATCCTTTTTAATGCATTTGGCTCCGTGTTCCTCCACGAGAGCAGCGGCTTTGTTCCAACCGCCTAGCACGGAACGCAGCAGGAGCCCAGTAATTGTTGAATGGCTCAACGTTCGGAGCGCAGGGGCCGATCTGGGACGAGGCGGATCGATGTGCTACACCTCGGTTTGTTTCCGAGATGGGCCCTCAGCAATGCCCCCACGGGGCTCCAAAGGGGCAGATGCCACAGCCGCCAGGGAAGTACGGGTGTGAGCAGAAGGCTGGGAAAGACGACGCGCCGCTCAGCTAGGGACTTCCGCTCAGAGCTAAGGCGGAAACGCCGCTTTCCCTGGCCCCGCCCCTGCCCCGCCTTCCTGGGGGTCGTCCGCCCCAGCCCCGCCCCTCTTGGTGGCCCCGCCCCTCTTGGTTCCCCCGCCCCTCTTGGTTCCCCCGCCCCTCTTGGTTCCCCCGCCCCTCCAGGTTCTTCCGCCTCCGCGCCGACACTAGCGGTGCGCATGCGCGATGCCCTGACCTGGAAGCTGCTGGGCCCGGGGCACACGTGTTTTGTGTTTCGGTGAGTGTGGCGGGGATGGGGAGCAGGGAACTCGCCGAGCCGCTGTCTCCTGGAGAGGCGACGCAGAGTGGCGCCCGGCCTGCCGACCGCCATGGCCTATTGAAGCACAGCCGCGAGTTCTTAGACTTCTTCTGGGACATTGCGAAGCCTGAGCAGGAGACGCGACTTGCGGCCACGGAGAAGCTGCTGGAGTATCTGCGCGGCAGGCCGAAGGTGGAGTGGCGGGGTCTGGGGCAGGGGCCGCGCATATCCCGGCAAGGAAGCGGCGGCGGGCCAGGGATTTGGGACGGGGGGCACATGGTCGCGAACCTAGATGCCAAGGTGCGCGGGGGCGTGCATCTTGTTTCACCATTGAACACGAGGGTGCGCTTGGTTCTGCAGGGGTCCGAGATGAAATATGCCCTGAAGCGCCTAATCACGGGACTCGGGGTTGCGCGAGAAACAGCCCGGCCATGTTACAGTTTGGCCCTGGCACAGGTGAGGTGGTGCTCCTGGCAGGATCCCAGCCATCCAGGTCAAAACGGTGGGGTGTGAGGAGGGCAGGTGTGGTGTATCAGCTGCGGCGGAGGGGCAGCCCGAGAGAGAGGTAGGGAGTGGCAGAGTTGATTGGAGGCTAACCTGAGGGAGGTCTCCTTACATAAAGGTGGAGAAGGTGTGAGCAAGGCCTGGACAGGTTTTCTATTTGGTGCTTGGGTTGCCTGGCCTCTTAGGTACACTTGCTGGGAGCAGTGCGCGCTGGGTGGGCTCCCTTAGGCCTGCAAAGGCATTCAGCTGATTGCAGTAGACCACTCTCTGAGGAGCCTTGACAAGGGGAAGAACAATAAAGATCCAGGCCTGCAGGATCAGCCTGAGGGGAGCTCAGACCAGGTGTGGAGAGAAGACCCAGTGGCTGAGAATTTCAGACGACCAATCTAGGGGCTATAGAAGGTACTTTTGTGCTGGGCATTGTGGCTCATGCCTGTAATCTCAGCACTTTGGGAGGCCGAGGTGAGCGGATCACCTGAGGTCAGGAGTTCAAGACCAGCCTGGCCACCTTGGTGAAGCCCCGTCTCTACTACAAATACAAAAATTAGCTGGACGTGGTGGCGTGCGCCTGTAATCCCAGCTATCCAGGAGGCTGAGGCAGCAGAATCACTGGAACCCAGGAGGCAGAGGCTGCAGTGAGCCGAGATCACGCCACTGTACTCCAGCCTGGGCGACAGGACAACACTCCATCTCAAAAAAAAAAGAAAAAAAGAAAACAACAAAAATTAGCTGGGCGTAGTGGTGGGTGTCTGTAATCCCAGCTACTCAGGAGGCTGAGACAGGAGAATCACTTGAACCCAGGAGGTGGAGGTTGTAGTGAACCGAGATCGCACCACTGCACTCCAGCCTGGGCAGCAGAGCGAGACTCCATCTCATAAAGTACTTTCAGAAGCCCTGGTGGAGACAGAGCAGGGGGATGAGACTTGGTTCCATGTGAGCAGCTCCAGAGGCATCCTTGGGGTGGCACTAGGGACCTGAGGCTTCTTGGGAGAAGTTGAAAGGGGAAAGGAGGTTAAGGTTTGTGAAGATGTAGCTGGGCCACTCTCCTGAACCCCTCTTCCTCCTGCCACACAACTGCTGGCAGCTGTTACAGTGTTTCGAAGACCTCCCCTTGTGCAGCATCCTGCAGCAGATACAAGAAAAATATGACCTGTGTGAGGTGAAGAAGGTAAGTGGATCCAGGGACGTCAGCAGCCCCAGGGGTGGGAGGCTTGGGGGAACGGGGAGTCCCAGGGCCCCTCATGCCTGTGCCTGGAATCCTTCTCTAGACAATGCTGAGACCTGCTCTCTTTGCAAACCTGTTCGGAGTACTCGCCCTCTTTCAGTCAGGCCGGCTGGTGAAGGTAAGAGCTTTGGAGGGACTGGGGGAATGTAGGCTGGCTTGGAATGGGTAGGGGACAGTAGTGTGCCCTGCTCATACCCTCTGTTGTTCTGTGGGGACCAGGACCAGGAGGCCCTGATGAAGTCGGTGAAGCTACTGCAGGCCCTGGCCCAGTACCAGAACCACTTGCAGGAGCAGCCCCGGAAGGCCCTGGTGGACGTCCTCTCCGAGGTATGAGCTCACCAGCTGTGCGGGCTCGGCCAGCGCTTCCTGTTACAGAGACATCATGGGGGCTTGGATGAGAGTCTGGAACAGCATTGTTCCATAGAAATACAGAGATGTATAATATGAAGTGTTTCAGTGACTTTATCGAAAAGGTAAAAAGAAACAGGTGTCATATAGTAACATTTTACTTCGTCTGGTATATCTAAAATATTACTGCAATATGCATTGGTATAAAAATCCGTTGAGGTATCTTACTTTTTTTTTTTTTTTTTTGAGACAGGGTCTTGCTCTGTCGAATATACTTACAGAATTCTTTCTGGGATTTTTGCT